TCTCTCTCTCTCTCTCTCTCTCTCTCTCTCTCCGTGTCTGTCTGTCTGTGTTCGTCTGTGTCTGTGTCTGTGTCTCTGTCTCTGTCTCTGTCTCTGTGTCTGCCTCTCTCTCTGTCTCTCTGTCTCTCTGTCTGTCTGTATCTGCCTCTCTCTCTCTCTCTCTCTCTCTCTCTCTCTCTCTCTCTCTCTCTCTCTCTCTCTCTCTCTCTGTGTGTGTGTGTGTGTGTGTGTGGTGCTTGCGCACACGTGCACGAGGAATGTATAGACTGGAAAGATCAGGACCGAGAGTTGCGATCAGCCGTACGACATACGTCATTAGGTTCGAATGTGATCTATCAATATTATATTGGTTAGGTTCGAATGTGATCTATCAATATTATATTGCTTTGGTTTGAATGTGATCTATCAATATTATGTTGGTTTGGTTCGAATGTGATGTCATTAGGTTGTTGTGTTATGTCATTAAGTTTTGTGATGAGACAGGACGAATCAATTGGTCCTGCGATCGTTGAGGCGGAGAGAGAGAGAAAAAGGAGCAGTGTGTATTGGGAGTATGTCATTGAGCAGCTGACGGCATGCAGCAGCATTCAGCTCTGCAGAGATGTCTCTTGTGTCTCTGGAGATCAGAGCTTCTTTCTTGTGTCTGCGGGATTCATATATTTTTTGAGAGATGATCTTATTACTGAAAGTTCGAGCGTGAATGATACATTGTCAAGGGGTTGGGCCGTGTCAGTGCCGAATCTGGCCTCTAACGTGACCAGATTCATTGCCATATTTGCGCGACGTATATTGCACCGCTGCCGCCTGGGCCCAACAGGACTACCTCTCTGGCAGAAATTCTGTCGTCGGATCAAACGAAATGACGTCATCAAATATTACATCACTGCGACAGGAACTCGCTGGAGTCGCTGCACTGTTCCGAATGCTTTTTTTTTTTAATAATAAAAAGAAAAAGCTTATCCAAGGCTATCCTGCTTATGCAATCTAATGTAGGTGCAGAATTGGACCGGGAATGAAAAAAAGAAAAAAAAAGGGAGAAGTTGTAGAATCACCCCGCGTCAAGAGCTTTACAGTTTTTTGCCCCCAAGCGGGGCAAAACGTCTGGGAGAATGCACGACGAATTTGATAAGTGTGTCCTTGTTGATTGGATTGGTTAATCAATGCCGGCAGGTTGTCACTGGACAATGAATGCTCAGACTCTTGATGTATATGGAGCTGCTCCCCAGGTGCTAGCGGTGTCTGCTCTTACCAGCACCACTATCACTGGCGGGGGGGGTTGTTGTTAAAAAAAAAAAAAAAAAAAAAAAAAGGGCCGCTGGACCAATAGATTGGAAACCGGGTCGAATAGAGTTGAATAGACTGAAGTGGCTTCCCACTAGGAGAGGCGATAAGAGCAACCCCCCCTTTTTCAGCAGGTGCGGCTCCCACCAATAGACTGGAGCAACCAGGAAGCCCGCCGCTAGGAGGGGATGCTCGCTCTTATCACCTCTCCTAGCGGGGGGCTGAGGGTGTTTTTTTTTTTTTTTTTTTTTTTTTTTTTTTTTTTTTAARAMAAAAGGATTGGTTAATCAAGACCAGATAGTGGGT